TAAGAAAAACCAGATAAAGAATGAAGAAAGCATGGCAGAAAGAAGCAGGGAGGAAGGAGGGAAGAAAAGAAGAAAGGAAGCAAGTCTTGCATGTATATAGATTTTCTCTGAAATATTTTGGGTAACTTTCGGTTTATAACTCTTAATTGTAAATAAGTCAATAGTCGGAATCCACAATCCCTAAATTTATTGCGATGCCCAGGAATATCCAACTTAAAAAAATATTCTTTCCAGTAAATCACGTCTTCTTGCCTCAAAACTCCCAAAACTAAATAAGAGACAGATATTCTGAATGTTCCATTGAAAGATTGAGTTAGTTTTCTCCGAGAGTCACGAACTTGGGTCGGCGAAAARTTTGCTATGCGATAGAAGTGGCCATAATAACCGGACTACACCGGAATAAATTATTATTTCCTATTCGAATTCGTTGTTTAATTGGTGGTGAAATMTTACATTTTTCAAACTTTCTGACGAATTTTGACGAATGTTTTGCATGAGAACAAAATGAATATATGAACAAATTATCTCTGTGAGTGACGTGTAACCAACTAAAATGTAATTCAAAACCTTGGTTCAGATGAATAATACTTTTTAACCTGGAAAAACATGATTTTAAAGCAAAATTCTCTAGCAACACCCTTCCTTGTGATGCACTCTACTTTTTAAAAGTGTTGAATTTGTTTGTTAAAAAAGAAAACTAGTTTCGGAACACTTGTTTTGTAGCTCATTAACTTGGTTAAAAATGCATGTGAGATGAATAAATTATCTCTGAGTGACGTTGAAGCCACTAAAATGTTAGAAACCTCTGCGATTTTTTTAGAATGCGGGAGTTCCGCTTTAGTTTTAAATATTTTACTTTCATTTTACACTCCTTCCGCATTACTCTAAGAAAAATTTATTAACAATTATTTTATTACTGTCTTGACATTTATTTACTATAATAAGCCTCTCATATTTTCGCAAATACTATTTACCTACTATGCATATTTAAAGAACTGAGAACAGGAACAAATAATACGTGGGTAAATGCTCGAAGGAAATGAAATTATTTCATTATTTCTACTACCACAAACAAAATTTTTAGATGTTAATAATATGGGGATTCCGACTTTTTAGCTGACTTTTGTTTTTGTTTTTTTTTTTTTTGCTGACGACAATCTAAAGTACTGTAGAATGCCTCTTAATACCTCCGATTGGAAGCAAGGCACCCCACGGTAGAATCTAACAACCATCAAACTTGGAAGGCAAAACATTACGTTATATAAACATCATGTCTTTTTGAAAAAGTTCTTCGAAGATCTTAATAATAACTATTAAAATAATATAAAATATATACTTAGTAGCCTGCGTAGCCAGGCTCTGGGGGGAATGGGAACGACCCTGGCTGCGCAGCCTCCACGGTGACATTGTGTCTTTGATATTTCTTTTGGACTTGATAACTTAGAAACCATTTCCCTTATAGAAGAACTAGTGCTGTTGAATAAACTTAAACAGACGACGGGTAACTTAGGACGGGGAGAGGGGTCACTTCAAATGCTGCGTACGTCAAAGCCACAAATCAGCCATTCCAAAGTTGAGGAAAAACTGGGTCGAGTTGGCATTGCAGTGCATTGTGGGGCTGTTCTTGGGGAAATAATTCCAAGATGGCGGCTATTTCATCGCTTAAAACAAGCCCACAATGCACTGCAATGGCAACTCGACTCAATTTTTCCCGTAACCTCGGAATGGCTAATTTAGTTATACTTATCATGTTTTAAAGCTATTTCTCCCGAAGGAGGGTAGACAGGAAAGCATTTTGTCCTTAGACATCCATTCATCAACCTCTCAGTCTTTTTTCTTGGAGTGAAAACATTAACTGTCGCAAATGACTGGACAAGATAATGCAATATTGATGGAGTATTTGAATTATACATGAAATGCGRCCCATAGTACTTTTACAGTGCAATATTTTTTTTGATTTTATGTGGGGTAGGTGGCTTAGACTTCCGCTAGTTAGCTTTGCCAAGGTCAATTTTCTTTTGAATTGCTCGCGAGGAATGGTAAATCATAGAGTCAACTAAACCAGCAACTGAAAAATAACATTTCAAAATATCATTAGAAAACAATATCATATACAGTACTTTAGTCTGCCAGTAAGTCAGTCAGTAAGTCAATTACTCAATCATTCAGTCAGTCAATACATGTAGGTCAATCAATCATTCAGTCAGTCATTCAGTCAGGTCATTCCGTTGCCCAGCCGGTCAGTCAGTTATTCAGTTGGTCAGGTCAGTTATTCTGATAACACACGAAGACAAACACACGAAGCAGGCAGGCAGACAGACAGAAAGACAGTCAGACAGGCATACAGACAAGCAGACAGACAGACAGTCAGACAGACAGACAGAGAGCTCTGTCAGCAGGGAAGGATCATGAGAACATACCTGTAAAAATACCACCTATAATGGCACATACTCCAGTTAAAAAGTGCATAAATGACCTGAAACAATGGGGGGAAAATCTGTTAATATTGTGATTACGATAGAAAGTGAAATCTGCAAACCTGTGATGGTCAATATCTAACAGATGATAGTGCAATTAGTATCAGCTAAAATGTTTTATCACACATTTAGGGTCGATATCTGTGGAATAGGGCGGAGAATAAAAACCATATCAGATACGATATCACTTCACGACAAACTGTAAGCTGAAAATTTTATCATTTCATCGCCCTTAAATGTGTAACACTCGTTTTCCATATAGAGGATATTACATGGGCGCGCGGATATACGAATTTTATCTTCGAGTGTTCAATTGATATCTCACGAGTGAGCGCAGCGAACGAGTGAGATATCTAAATTGAACACGAGAAGATAAAATTCGTATCTCCAAGCGGCCATGTAATGTTCTGTTTATTATATAGATATCGATGAAACTTAAATAAAACAAAAGCTCAAAAATTCTTTATTAAAATGGCAAGCCGATTCAACAGCGATATCTTCACGTGTGAAAGATATGGTATCTTCCACTGGTGAAAGATATCAAGTTTTCGACAATAGAGAAAACCTGGTATTTCATCGATATATATATAATAAATCATATTACTCACTCGCTTGTGGAAAATTATAATTTCGGGTGGTAGGGGGATACTTAACAAAGTTCCTCCGTGGGGGGAGGGGGGAAGGGGTTAGAAGTAATTTCTGGAACTACATACTAAGAGTGATACAATCGATGTACTCCACTGATCAATCAGCAATCAAAGTAAATGGACACATTTCTCCGACATTTTCCTGTTATATGGGTGTTAAACAAGGCTGTATGCTGAGCCCTAC